ACTTTTCTTTAAAGAAAAATAGTTTCCGCCATAAAATTTAGAAATATATTACATGGTGTCTTTAATTTTGTCAAATCAGATCATTAGACGACAATGAAGATTAATCTTGAGAATTATTGAAAGTATATAGTACTAAATTTGGACACTTAAAAATGCTTTTGAGTCATGGACCCAAACAATATTTTAAGCTAAAATTTTTGTTAATGGTGATAGTTTTCTTGTTTGACGTGTTTTTAGAGATAAATTGGAGTCTGAAGAGAATTAACGTGTGGTATAAAGTTAATTCAAAAGTATTTTAAGATTATTTAATCAAACAATTGGGATCAAATTGATAATATGGATGGTATTTGTATTAGATTATATGACTTAGCTTTTATGGACTTTTTCTTTTTATGACCAATCTTTAGGATTTTGATTTGAAAAATTTGTGAATGACCTTGTTGGTGTGATCCTCTGAGCATGTTGTCACATATTTATTTTTAAAAAAAATGGCTTTTCAATCAATCATTAGGTTGCTTAAGTTAAATAAAGGCAATATTTATGTAACAACCTTAGTAAATATGTGATTATGAAAATTTGAAACTATTTTTAACATATAATTACAAAGAAATATAGAAGCCTATAAATAAGATTTAGCCTCTTAGACTTAAAAATAAGGTAAGATAGTCAAATCTTATAACATGTAAATTAAAAAATCTAGTTTAAGGGAGATGAGACCACTTGCCTCAAAAGTCCACTTTAGGAAAACTAGACAGTGGCTAGTTCACAACTGGGCCTAAGGACTAAATTTCAATTGAAAATAGAAATATTTTTAATACATATAATTACAGAAATGCCCTTAGGCCATTTTGGTGAAAAGTTATGTTTAATAATATCAGGGTGCTTAGAATAAAGATGGACTTGAATTGTGCCTTTTCAAGCATGTTGGCATTTAATGAGAGTATTTACTTTATTTAAAACTCCAATCTTCCTTAATTATAGAATTTATTGAATTTTATGATGGATTAAAAGTTGAAAAACATTTGTCTTAATTTGTGGAGGTCATTAAATATTTTTTTTTTTACCTTGGATAATGATACATGATATATATATAGATTTCAAAATTAAAATGACTCGAATAACCTAAACGACTATTTCAGGGTTGGGTGCATTTAGCTAGGGTTGTTTGGATTGTCCGAATTTGCAACTCCAACAATTAGATTGGATTTAAAAAGTATTTGATCCACATATAACTCAAATATTACATAATTGAATTGGACTAGGCCCATCATGTGGTGCTAAGTCCAACACACTCTTATATTTAAGTCGAACAAATGAGTTAATTTGAATACAATAAGAGATAGAGTTGTGTAACATACCTCCTACACGAAATCTATCCTCCTATTTATAGAAAGAGAGAGTTTCGTCTTTAGGTCTTAGGCCATTTGAATTGTCAATCATTTGATTTCTAGCTATTATCTCAATCATTCTCCAAAATTCATGGATGATTGATGATGTGTAAGCTCCTTGGATAGGGTGTTAGCACGTCAAGCCTCTTAGTTGTGGGGTTGAGTTTGCCAATTTGGCATTTAGGACCTTGATGGTCAGCTCACCATCTCGGCCTCGTGGACTTGGTATCAATTAAGCTCAGCCTACTCGACTTCAGGGCCTTGATGGTTGGCAGACTCAACCACCTCGACCTCTTGACTTTGGTTGTCAGTGCAACTCAAGCACCTCGGCCTCGAGGCCTTAAGCTCAAGCTCAATTGGATTATTTTGATCCACTGTAATACTTTAATTTTGAATATAAAAACATTTTGTTCTATTTAGGATAAATAACTTGTCGAAAATTAATTTTAAAGTTAAAGATAAAATAAAGTTTTATGCAATATTTATGGGCTAAAATTAAATATTTTAAAGGTAGAATCCAAAGTAGGTATTAGAACTTAGGAACTCATTTAAATATTATATATAGATATATATATATATATATATATATTTGAAACGTTTAAATATTAAAAATTGATAACAGTAAAGGAAGAAAAAAAAAGAAAGAGAAAATAAATTAAAGATGGGCCTTTGAAAGTAAAAGTATTAAAGTTGGGCCTTGGATCATCTTTACGGGCTTACCAACATCTCTGCCCCATCAGGAGATAATATTACGATATTAAGTTTAATCTTCTAACTACACTTTTATAAACCTTGTTCAATAAATATCAAATCAATTTTTTTTTTTAGACTGAAACCGACACAATACAAATTAAAATTTACACAATTTGAATTGATAGTAAATTTTAATTGACACAATTCAAATTTACTATTAATTCAAAAAGTAGCCATTTTTTTTATCTAACATAAAATTACATACGAAGGTAACAATTTTTTTTTTAATCTTATTAGTTTTCAAGCCATTTGATTTTTCAGTTGAAGGTAATAACTCTAGTATAAAGCTAGCAAATAGAACAAGGGTTGACTTGTTTTGTTTTTCTTCTTTTTTTTTTCTTTAATGATTTGAAGCGAGCTGTGAGACTTTTTTTATAAAGTCTTGGAGAAGGACATGAGTTGACATAATTGTAAATTAAAATAGTTTGAGAACTCAAACTCAAATCAAACTTTGCAACTAAAAAGTGAATTATCCACTAATTACATCTTCCACTTAGTGCATATCATAAATGCCTAGATTCTAATCTTAGAGAAAATGTTAGGTAAAAGGGCAATTCAATTAGATCAGGGTGAAATTGTAAGTTGTATGTTGATTGATTCTCTCCTATCCGTCGATTATTGTAGATTTGTTTCATCTGCTAACGTAAGAATAATTCAATTGGTCAAAAAATTACTTACGTCTTCATCAAATCCTTCCACTATGCTCTATTTTTCATAATCGTCAAAAGCTTCCTCAAGCTCCACACGTCATCAATTTCGACCTCAAATCAATTTACCCAATTTCTCCACTTCAAAAAAGGAGGTTGACCTAATTATGTTTTGACCTCTTTAATTGATCAAATTGCCCCTATATGGAAAAACGGTTGAAAAGATAACGTTTCATGAAAAATTGTATTGAGAATCATAAAGCCATATGAATCAGAAAAGAAGCAATTGAATCTCTCTAAATCCAAATAATTAGCCCCCAATTAATGATTTAAAATGGGGTTTTGACTTTCAAGTTGGATTGAAGATATATATTTGATCGTATATGATGCGATGGGATTTGCAAAGAAACCTTCTCATAATAACATCTAATCCAATTCTGATTTCGCTTAATAATTTTCAAAGTGAAATGATTGCATTAAAAATTAAAACAAAACAAGTCAACCTTTACAAGTCAACACAATCGATCATGAATTTCACTCAAGATTTGACCAATGTCACTAAGAACCTTTTTTTCTTCCTTAAATTATATCTTTACTCTATCTTAGTTTCAACCTTAATTTAGTTTACCCATTATTTGTAATTACATTTCAAAAGAAGTTACACTTAAAATCAACCAAAATTCATATTATTTTTCAAAACTTGTCCAACCTTATATCATTTTAATTAAAACAATTATTATAGAGCTTATCCAATGCACCTACAAATAACTTGTCACGTTATATTTTAATCCGGAAAATATATAGTGAGTTGAAATCAATTGAAAGGAACCCTAATAAAATTTCTAAAAGTATAAAAGTAAACTAAAACTATAATTAAAACATAGGGATCAACATTATAATTAATTTAACATTTTTTTTAATTGCTTCTTCTTCAAGTATTAGCCCCGAAAGATGTAAATGATGAGCTTTTGATCATACTCGTTGCAGGCCATCAATGGAGAGTCTCGAGATTGGCTTTGAAATTCATGTGCATAGGGTTTATTATGTCCATTTGCAGCCATGGCTGCAGCCTCTTGCTTGCCTTGCAAGTCCTCCTTTGCTTCTCTATTGATCCATGATTATGATTATTATTATGATTGTAATCACTAAGCTGCAAATATTACTTGATCTCTCCCATATGATTATCATAATCAAAGTCCAAAAAAATTAGGGTTATCCAATTAAACTCATTGCACCATGTTCTCATAACCATTTATCTTTGCTTCAAGATCAGCTGAATCTTCGAGTTATGTTCCATTTGATGATAAAATCGATCGTGTTAGCGTAGTGTTATATTTTAAACTTTTGAACCTATAACCTTACCCTTTTAGAAAAAGCAGAGATGTCTTAATCATTAAGGTTCCAAGATGGTTCCAAAGTCCTATTTGATAAGTATTTTATTTTTGAAAATTAAACTTATAAATACTCCATTTTAAAAAGGTTTTCAAAATCTAAGTTTGAATTTTGAAAACTTATATTAAAAAAAAAAAAAGGTAATTTTGAAAAACTTGTTTATTGTTTTTCAAATTTGACCCAAAATTGAAATGGTGTTTTATGAAAAGCGAGAAACATAAACTTGTGGAATAAGTGTTGGCAGTTGCGTAGGTCCTATTAAACTCTTCCTTTCAATACGATTACGGGTTAAGATGAGCGGGAAAGCCACTATCGTGTATTGTTTTTTATTTATTCAATTGAAGATACATATGGGTAGTGCAAGACCTTACCAATTAATAAAGAATATCCAACTGATTAAAAGACGAAAATCATTATCGAAAAGTAACGACATTTAAAAGTTAAACTAAAGAGTTAACATGAATTGAAATTGCTTAATACATTCACAACAGGGAGCAAAAATTTGCCTTTAAATTAGATAAAAGGAAAAAAAAAATTCTGCCCTTGGTTCTTGTTTTCTTTTGAATAACTAAACAAAATTTAAATAACAATACATCGTCATCTCTCTCCCAAATTCTTGAACCTTTGCATATTCCCCCAAAAAAACCCTACAACCATGCATGCAACAGCAACAACCGTAAGAACCCGGAGAGAATAGCCATATATCAAAGCTGGAGACAACAAAACACATCCAAAAAAAACCTCCCCCAAAGAAGAGAAAACATATTGCTCCAACCCCATAAAAAAAAACTATTTACAAATTCTCAAGATCACATTTTTCTCTTTTGTATTCATGAATCGCCATGGAAGAGGATTACATTCCATATCAATGGCAATCATGAAGCAGCCTGGTGCAAGTGTGGAAACGGCAAGATTCTCGGCTTGTTGGCGAGGCATAGAGCGGACGGGTTTGTGGCCGTGGCGGAGGTGGTTTTCGCAACAGGAGCGGGAGCGGTGGTGGCGACACGCTCACACGAGGGGCACATGGTGAGGGTGGTGGCCGGAAGCTGCATATAAAAGGGCTGAGAAGTTTTTAAAGCTCTTAATTCTTGCAGTTCCTTCTGCAATCTTCTGTTCTCTTCTGTCAATGTCTCGCAGCATCTCCTTAAATACTCACAATCTACTTCTGTCTGCTTCAACTTTGTCCTAAAACACACACACGTCCATCTTTTCAAATTAATCCCCAATAAAGCTTTTGCATTAATTAATGATTCTTTCTGACAGCATTTCAAATACAACATTACCGTGCAACCAAAGAAAATTAGAAGATCAAAAAACAAACACAAAAAAAGGACAACTTTATGATACCTTGCTCTTCTGTTTTGGAACCAAACTTCAACTTGTCTTGGTCGGAGATTTAGCTGCTTGGCTAGAGCTAGCTTCTGCTTCTGAAAATTGGAATATCATGGATTCTTGTTAGGGTTTGTTTAGTAATTGGGTGGTCAAAAAACTTAATAAAAATCATAATTTGGGATTTTACAGAAACATTGTTCCAAAAGCTCTCGGCAACGTAACATAGTATTTTCATATATATTAAGGATAAATAAACTACGACTTGCCGATTTGGAGAGTTGACTTACAGGATTGAGGGTGCTGTGTTCTTTGAAGCTTTCTTCGAGAAAAGCCGATTGTTCTTTAGAAAGGCGGAGTTTTTTCCGGGCAGAGCCGTTTTCGTCGTCGTCGCTGATTCTCGACGAAGCTCTCTCAGTTTCCATCTCGAAATCGGACGATCTCTTGCTTCCTCCGCCGTTTCGGACCCCGAAATCCATCTGAAAAGACGACACCGCACTGTTCGGAGACGACATCCCAGCCGCCGCAGCCGCCGCCCTGTCGTCTGTCTCCTCCGCCGGCCCCACCGCCGGCAACCGGTTCACGTCCAAAACCCTCTCCGCTCCTCCGTCTGAACAACCCCGTTCAGCCATCACTAATATATATATAACAATAGCAACATCTATCAAATTAAAACCAACACCTAAAAAAAAATCACAATCCCAGCTAAAATTATTAACTAATATCACCAATAAAACACCCCTCAATCCAAAAGTGATATTTCAATACTCTCCTTCACTCCTGCGTTTGAAAAATTACAAAATTACAAAACACTGTAAATCATTATAAAGGGAGAGGATACAAATTGGATCTTACACCCTCCCACTTTAATATTAAAATGAATAAATTACCACCCAATCCAAAAGTAGGTGAATTTGGTAAATTTAATTTATATATATATATGATGAAATCGAAAAAAAAAACCCAAGTTGTAATTTTTGAATAGAACAAAAAAGCGGAGAGAAAGAGAGGAGTAATTTACAGTGATCGGAGAGCCATGGAAATGGAAGGTGAGAAGAAGAAGAGTGATGAGAACGAGGAACAGGAGCCGGCGGGAGAAGATCCAGCTGAACCGGCGGATCCGAACCCGAACCCGACCCGGGAAGAATGATTCTCTCATCATCATCATCTTCTTCATCTTCCTCCTCATCGTCGTCCTCTTCACGAACCTCTCTTCCTTGATCATCGTGGATCGACGCCGAGCCCGAACCCGAACCCGAGGCAGAGGCAGAAGCAGAATCGCGGGCCAAGCCGACGCAGAAGCCCAACGCCATAAATGGCGACGCAGAAGAAGAAGAAGAAAGCTTGGAAGGTTTAGAGAGAAAACCAAATGGCTTGTTGTTATTAGTGGGAGTATCTCCAAGGCTGAGAGCCAGCTCCATTTTTGGAACAACGAAGAAGAAAAAAAGAAGACAACTTTGGAGAGAAACAAGAGGAGAAGAGAAGGGTTTAAAAAGAAACCCAAACAGAAGTGGGTTTTTAAATACGCCAATTAACAAACAAACAACAAAACAGAAAAGCCATCAAAGGAACCACCTTTTTTCTTTTTTTTTTCTCTTTTCTTTTTTCACCTTTTTTTCCAATTTTTTTTTTCTAAGAGAGAAATGGGTGAAGAGTGAGATTGACCGACAAAACCAGATTGACAAGTGCACGTGAAAATATTTAATTATACAGCGGTTCATACACGAGACTTTAGAGTTTAGAGAGAGAGAGACCAAACAAAAAAATAAATAAGAACCAAAAAAAAAAAAACCAATATTTAGATTTAGGATATCTCTCAAGTGGGGTATTAAAACAGAGCAGACAACGTTGAATATTTATTTTCTGTCGACACATACAAAAGGGTAAAGATTATGATCCTTTTTTCTCCTTTTTCTCTTGTGTATATCCTAATCTAACAAATTATTTAAACTCCTCTAAATAATTTTAGTATTTAACATCTTTTTCTGTTTTTTGTTTGGCTAATGAACTTTTTTTTTAACTAATGTGTGGTTTAATATTCTTATGATTGGAATATGGAGATTGGTTAGATAATGTTTAGAATACAGTAAATTTATAAATTTGTTAGTAAAACAATATTATTTTCGCTATTTATTCAACTTTTTTATATTTAACTTGATTATATCAAAACTTCAATAATAACATGAAAAAAAAAAATCTTTTGCTAAATTTTAGTTCTGTATGGTGGTCCAATAAAATAATTTTTTCAAAAGCAATTATTTTTGGTACGGCTCGCTTACTTCCCAAGCTAGTGTGTATATATATTTTATGAAATCTAATAAAATCATCCAAAACAGAAATAATATTTTGGAGAAATTAAAATTATGTTCGATTTGATTTACTTAGCTAAAAAGATATAGTTTTTCACATAAAAGAATAACAAAATAACTAAAACCATTTGAAATCATAAGCACGAAAAATGTGAAGGTTATATTAGTAAAATACACCATGTCCCATGATGTTGCGACAAAACAAATAAAAATATTCAATTATATTTTGTAAATAGCTATACATCTGACATTACTTAAATTATTAATCAACTCCATACGAAAATACAAAATAATTAAAAAAAAGTTTAAATAATTAATAAAAACATCATGAGAATGTATTTATTAGAGGCAGGCAAAGGCACAAGGCTTGACAGAAACGGATCAACCTTTGACTCAGAGACTTCTTCAATAGAAATGATTAAGTAATTGATATATAATTTTAAAAATTATAATTATAGTTTTTAATTAATTATTAATTATTAATATTAATTACTAAATCCTTAAGTGTGATTATCAAGACGACGTTAATATTATTGTCTTCTCACCAACCCAGCCACCCAAAATCATTGCATTAAACTTATTTTATTTTTATTTTTTTATAGTTCACATCCAACGGCTGGGATTCCATCAACTCACTGTTTCTGCATTTTTTTAAAATATAAAACTCATTATGACGTCAAGAAAATCTCATTAATTGCTCCCTTACCAAACACACCATCCATTCTAAATTTTTTTAAATGACCATATATATATATATATGCATAAGAAGTTGTTTTCATAATTCATTAAATATTAAAAACCCTTTGAATTATACTTATTTCATCAATATCTATATATAGTATATTATTGACTTATTTATTGAAGGAGATCCGAAAATTATTTGCTCGAATTATTCATTATTACATCACATCAACCTATTTGTATGATTGAGAAGTATTTATGTAATAGATAAATTTGCATATTTTCAAGGATAAATTTGTATATTTCATTTGTGAAAACACGAAATGTTATATTCGTCATTATTAGATTTTTTGAATAAGTTTTGATCATTATTGAAACATTATTTGAGAATTTATTGAATAGGATTTAATAATGTTTTTGTTTTTTATTTTTGAAAACAAATTTGATAAAATCAATTACACATATATTTATTTTGCTAAATAGGTAATTTAGTATTCAATGTTTATATATATATTTTTATTTAGTCTCTAACATTTTTCAAGTTTCAATTTTATCATTTACGAATCGAGGATTATGAATAATTTACTAATTTTGAAAATTGTCCTTTTCATTATTACAAGAGTATCAATTTAGATAATATTTTAATATTGGTTCATTTTTATAATAACAAATCCTTTTTAAGTTATATGAGTTATTACATGTCACAGTATGAAAGTAAAATATAGAGAATATTTATAGCTCAATTAACAAAATATATTTTGAATGTTATTTCGGGAATGAATTTTAATATTTTATCATATTATTGAAAGAAAATCCATACATAAAATACGAAATTAAATCATTAAAAAAAGTAAGGATGAAAAACTGGAAGAATGACCAAAAATCAAAGGTTAAATTATATATTTAAGCAATAATGTATTTGTTTAGATTATTTTTCTTTACCTAATTAGTTTTCAGTATAAATTTTTTTTTTAATCCGATGGCTTCAAAAGCAGACTTTCCCAAGACATCATCTTCCACATGTTGGGGTAGGAGTGGGCAAATAAAAATAAATTGTGGAAAATTTGTAAAAAAAAAAAAGGAAAAGATTTATTTTTTTTATTAATTTAATGTTGGGGAGAAAGAAACTTTCCCATTTTAATTTAAAAAATTAAAAAGGAAAAAAAAAAGTAGAGAGAGAGAGAGATTAGCACGAGATTTGACCAAATAATAAGATGTTTGACTTGGGGGGGCAGACAAGGTGACCATGTCTTTACAGTGTCCAAGGAAAGTGGTGTTTTTTATTTTTTTATAATATTTTCAGTGGAGGGTATAATTGTCTTTTCCAACAAGCAAATTGGCTTTTGTGTCTTTTGAGTGTAGTTCTCCCCGTCCCACTACCAAAAAACCCTACTCCCCTCCCACATTAGGGTATCCTATGGCCACACCCTCTCCCCTCTCTACTTATTTCTCAAATTATTGCCCTTCCTCCATTATTATTTATTTCTTCCCTTTTCAAATTTAATAATAATTACCGCCTTAAACCAAACCTCGAACCATCTATCAATAGATATAGTTAAACAATAATTGATATATACTCATTTTCTTTTTATACATATGTTATTAGTAGAATTCAAATATTAGAATGAGGATGTAAACATAGTACCACATGTGATTTTTTAAAAAAAAAGTATACAAGTAAAACAGTATTTCCATTATTACAAAGGTCGTTTTAGGTAGAAATCCTTCTTTTAATTCCAGATGTTTTTTTCTTTTTAAGAATTCAACTATTATAAGAATAAGTGATTAAACGATTCATTTTCAAGATACTAATAAATGTGATATAGGGTGTGTTTGGTCACTTTTTTTTTATTGTCAACATAACTTCCTCATGTTTGGTAATTAAAAAAAAAAAGTGATTTTAAGCAAGTTTAAAGTCATTCCAAATTGATTTGTAAGGTATATCATTTGAATGGTGATTTTGAAAAATCAATTATATTACATAAATCTCTTTTTTTAAATCACAAATTCTACCGTCTCTTCCAAATACACGTAGACTCGAATTGAAGGGTGAGAGAAAGGGGTAAAGTGCAGGAGAAGATAGGGAAAGAGTGAATTTAAAGAAGTGGGGGGTAGGTGAATAAATAATAAAGAAAAGAGGGGTATAAAAATAAATGGGGGGGAAGGCGCGTGGGGGAGTGCATCCAGGGGATGTGACGAGGTCAGATATGTCATGCTTTTGGGATCATTGCAATAATTGAACTCATGCAGGCTTTAATGATAAGCTTTAGAGAGAGAAAATTATAAATTAAAGAAAAAAAAAACAGAGAAGAGATGTTTGAATTATTGGGTGGGACCCACAACCCTACCCCCACCCAAGCGTAGGATATAGTGTCCCAATAGAACAACAACGAAAGGGCACCCACCCCCACAAATCTCTCTCTTTTTCTTTTTTTCTTCTTCACATTCCCTAATCAACGTTTTGACAATGAATCAATCATAGGGTTATGGCTTTGTCGCACTGATTTGGTCGCCCCCAACTACTCTCCCATGGGCCCTTCCCCTTATCTTCATTAAAATAAGTCTAAAATATTACGAGCCAATTAGAACATATCTCAATAGGATTAAGATACCTGTATTCGAATTTTAAATCGTATTATCAAAATTTAAAATATTACAAATTAATTCCTCATTATACTTAATTAAGTATAGATAAATGATACTTGCAAGAATTTCACTAGAATAATGGGTACAAATTTTCTTGTCAAAAAGTTAATACCACTACTTGCATCAAAGATAGTATTTTTCATTATAAGTATATCAAAAAGAGATAAAATATATGCAAATCAATAATTAGTGTGATTACAATCCATCAGTGGTTTAGAGTGTTTGATAGTGATGGTAGAATGAGTGATTTTGAAGAAAGAGATTTAAGTAATTTTTTCAAGATTATCGACAAGATAATACCTTTTAAAAATCAATTTAAAGTGATTTTAAACTTTCCTAAAATCAATTTTTTAATTTGCATAGATAGAAAGGGAAGAAAATGATTTTCGCGATTTCCATGATTTTATACTTAAATTTAATATTTATGCAAATCAACTATTATTATCGTACAAAGTGATGATATATTAATCACTATTGTTATTAAGGGTAATTAAATATTAACGCTTTTATTGGAATATGTTAAATTTTGTAATTATTATTTATGACGAAATATATACTTGTAATTAATTTTTCAAAAACAATAATTTCGGAAATGAAGCTACCCATTCAAATAAAAAATGTGTTGGCATTTTAGATTTTTTTTTTCTTCTTTAACACCTGTATATTGTATTTTCCAGCGTATCATTTTTAGTAATAATTATAAATTCTTCTCGTTTGTGTACCCTACGGTTTTTTCTCATTAGGATTTTCACGTGTAAAATTTGGGTTCTTATTATCTTTATTTCTTCACTTTTTTTCATTATGGATTTTCGATTAATAAAGTATCTAATAGATTAAAAATTTAGCACATCCTATTCGTCAAAAAAGATGTACGATACTTA